TACGCGGCTGCAACAAAATGGTTCGACAAAGGTTACAGTAAAATTTGAAAAGCAATTTCAAATAAGAATTATGTAACAGTTTTATTATTATTATTACATGATTATTCTTCGACGTAAGACTCCGTGGAAGATTAAAACGCTCGCCGAGGATACATGTACGTGCCGCAAATGTGATTTTTCAACGATAGCAATAACTTCCCAATTTGTTCCTCTTTTATCAAACGCCAGGGCACGGTTACTTCCTAGCATGCGCGGCCCCGTGCGGGCTGCATGTCGGGCTGTCGATCGGCGGTATCCCAGCGGTAGGAGGAAGTCGGCGACTTTATCGGTGAGTATTCTGATAAGGCGGTCGCGCGACAGGTACAAGCGCGCACGGCTGGGCTTTGTATCGTGACAAGTGCGCTTTGTTGAGGCGAGCGAGCCGACAATCGACTCGACGCCTCGAGTTCTTCAGCACGCTTGTGCTGTGTCGTGCCGCGCCGTACCGATGAAGATATAAGAAATGCCACGATGTATCGTGTAGATGGGGTCGAGATGCTCGAAAAAAAATAACGTCTTGAATAACGGGTTTGTCAAGGAACAGGTAGATACTTGTAAATGGGATTACTGTTTAATGCTATCATTAATTCAATACGCATTGCGAGAGAGAAAGATAAAATGCAGAAGATAAGAGTTAAATAATGACTTAAATCTCTATCGGTAATCTTTTTTTAGTACAAGCATAAATTTCACCCTCATTTTTGTTAAAATTCAATTTTTATTAAATACTCTATTTTAAATCAAAAAATTTTTGAATTAAGGAATTATTTGATAATGTAATAGAAATATTAAAAATTCTATGTTTTTTCACCTTTTTTGAAAGCCTAGAATTTAAAAAACTTAAACTTGACAAAAAAAAAAAGACTCAGATCGTAAACGAAGGGAATAAAAATAGAATTTGATGGAGGAATAATATTCAAATGCCACAAATCTGACATATAAATGTTAAATTCCTATATAATAACAGAAGATTATGATTTTTGCAAAAAACCATAATCTTTCTCACTTCCGTTATATTACATTCTATACGAAAGTTTTGCATTTCTTTAAAATTGAATGCTTTTTTTTAATGCTCTCCGAAGGGAAATATATATGGAAAGAATGATTTTATTAAAATATTTAAGAATTTATACAGATTTGAAAATAATTTTGTAGACCAGAAAAATTATGTAAAATGCTCAAGCTAATTGTTAGAATGTCAAAACTTTTTTGCAGCATTGTTCAACGTGCTTGAATACACTACATAATTATTTTGATAATATTTTGCTAAATTTTAAGATACAAACATTAAACTTAAATTTTTTATATATCTAACCTACGTACATTCTTCAACAAAAAAATAAAATTAACTAAATTAATTTAATATAATACGAATTTATTAAACCTAAATAAATCTAATTAAATATGGAAATTTCTATATTTGATCAAATTTAGTTTTTTTTCAGTGTGATATTTCCGTATGGCACTACATTTAATATAATGTACAATAATATTTAAATGATTATTAAAAGATAAATATTATATATCATTATCAAATCGGAATCACAATTACTAAAATACGTTAATGTAGTATATTTACTATATAGAAATTGATTGCCTTTAGTTACAATTCCGGTCATTTTATGCTGAATCTTCGCGTGGAGAAATCGAAAAGTAAGGAGCTGTTTCCTTCCCACTTCCTCCGATCGGTTGATTATCTGATTCTACTGGAGACCCGACCGCAAAGTTCATCCGGCAAATTCTGCGCAATAGCACTTACAGGGTGTTCGCTTTCAACGAGTTTCTCCTCGTTTTGCGACATTCTTTAACGAATGAGCGATTGAGCTTCATGGAGTCACGCAAAACTTCTCGACGACAACCCGATACGTTAAGATACCTATCGTCGCGTCGTCCAAAGAGAAAGAGAAGAAGAAAGAGAAAGAGAAAAAGAGAGAAAGAGAGAGGAGGGGGAGGAGGCAGGGTGGTTTCGAGTAGATTCTTTCACCGAGTAGAATCTCTCCTTCCCCATCCCTATCCGTCATGTAACACGAACCAGTTCCGCCGAGTTCTCCGATTACACGCTCCCTGGACGCGCTGGAATTTTTTCACCACCCTCTGCGCTACCTCATTCACCGCCCGCGCGTCCCTTTCTCGTGCTACCCCGTGACGAAACGTGTGGAGTATAATGGCAAACGTGACGCACAAAACCCACGTTTTTCCGCGTCAGACTTGCCTCACCGACACGGTTCTCGTTTTGTTCTCAGAGATATGGTATCAATCAGGTTTATCGAAACAAAAAAGATATCACTCATTTGCTACACACAGAAAAATATTCTATTGGTAAGAAGAGTGCCTACTCAATTTACTTTCTCTCTTTCAAGTAACGGTTATCTTTAACAAAAATATTTTTTATAATAATAATCTTAAAATATACTTATTACAAATTTTGGAAAAACTCATTATTATGTATTTTAAATAAAAAATTATTTTTTTCTTAAAAATATTTTAAAATTGATCGAACAAGCAATTTTATGTGATAAACAAATCGAATTTGTTTTAATTTAATAATCTTGATTGAAGTATTAAACTTAATAGGATTCAGAATATATTTTGAATAAATTTGATGCTTATGATGAACCTATGATAGATTTGCAGATATATAAACTATTGAAATACTTGAAACAAGTTATTATTACTTGCGTATGATACATATTTTTCTGTGTGTACAGCAACGACACAATTCAAAAAAACTAAGTTTTCCAGAGAAAGAGTTTCAATAAGTTTTGAATCATTAGAATTTTAAAATATTAATCCTAAAGTGCAATAATTAAGTTTAATAATAATAAGTAATAATTATAAATTAAAGAAGAATTTTAAAAAGTCCGTTTTTTTTATGTTCTTATTCTAATAATTAATTAAAAAATAATTTTTAAGTTACATCTTTTTGTGGCAAGCGAATGATATATTTTTAAAATGCAGTTTTCCTTTTTGGTCGAAAACTAAAATTTCAATGCCTACGTTATCTTACTCTAAAAATCTTGGTGAATTTAAAAAAAAAATATGTTACGTCGCGTTTTCTCCAAAATTAGAAAAATGCTCTTACCTCTCTGGAGCAGTCCTGGTATCCCGCCTTGTACCTGGATAGGCCGGGCTGAGCGAGCGATCTCTGCCGCTGCAGATGCCTGACCGTAAGCTCCAAAATATCAGCTTTCTCAAGCTTGCTGTGCTTGGTGTTCTCCAAGCGGGCGCTGTCAAGGATGAGCGCCTTTAGCGCCGCCAAGGACTGGTTGATCCTTGCTCGTCGTCGTTTTTCCATTAGTGGTTTGTTAGCCTGAAAAAGAGGAGGCAGAAAAAACGATATTTCTTTAATACATCTACCAACAACGTACCTATAAGTTTCGGAGAAGAACAGAACAATTATTCGTCAAGCAACAATTATTCTGTTCAAGAGCGGAATGTATCACGAAATGTATTGTGAGAGAATCAAGGTGATGTTTTTATAGTATTTGTATCTATCAAAATAAAGTTGAATATCTATTGATTAACAATTATGATACGAATTGGATTTGGATTAATTAGTAAGTATAATTAAATAAAAGAAATCGTATACTAAGTCAAAGCGTATCTTAGGATAATATTCAGTCCATTCTTATTTCTTATTTTAAAACCGTCTTAAGTAATGTCTTAAGATGCTAATACGGTTCTCTAATTGATTTATGAGTCTTAAGTACTTAAGACAGTCTCAGATATAAGGATTGATTATGCATATCGGCCTTAGTGTTTAAATATTTTTGTGTGAATTTATAAACATATATCTGATTCTGCAATCTTTAATCTATTGATTATATCAAAACCGTGCAATCTTTAATCTATTGATTATATCAAAATTATTCTCACTATATACAATATTTATAGATGATGTTTTTAATAAGAAATATAAGTGGTGCGAAATTTATGAGATACTAAAATTCGCACCTATTTAGAACAACGCAAGTAATCGGCGAATTATCAAATTACCATGGAATTTCAAATCATGAACTCTTGCAACAAAGAGCAATTTAAAAAATGTGAACGCTAAGTTTCTTTCCGCATATCGAATTAGCTACGTAATCGCATCTTTTAAGAATTCACAATCCTAGAAATTTTACGAACAAAATTAACAGTTCGAAACGATCCTATTACTCATATATATTCTATTACTTATATAAATTCAGCGATGTTACGATCCTTTGTTCGACGTTCGTATGTCTGTTTACTATTGTTTGCTATTTGATATTTGATGAGATATTTGTTATTTGAGAAAAATCGAGAGGTGTTCAGGATTCATTAAAACTTTTGATCTCATTTTAGATTTTATTTTTTAATCATATTCATCAATATGAATCAAGTCATAGTTTTGAACACATTCCAATCTGAAATACCGATTGTTATATGTTTCTCGATAAGGTAGATCACAAAAGTATATTAAGGCGTTGTCGGAACCCGAGGTTCTTTATGCTAGAAAAAAAAAAAAATAATTTGAAATAGCTTTCGTTCGAGTTCTTACAATTAGCGACAGTAGGTCAACGTGTTGCCTAGATGCAGCACGCTCCTCTATCCTAGCCGGAGTACTATTACTTTTTTTTGTCCGCGCTTCGCGGAAGAGGTTGATTTACGAGATGCCGCCGGCGATGAGCGTGACGAGCGAGCGAGCGAAACAACGGTGAGAGAATGACACAGAGCATCCGGGAGATAAGAGAGGAAAAGAAAGAGAGGAAGGCGGATGCGTCCAGTGCCAGACTATCGAGAGTATCAACCTATTTCATGCGCTTCCGTGTCTCTCTTTTTCTTGAAACTAGATTCAAGTTAAGCGCAGAGTCTGGGTGGTCTAGGACGATTTTACGAGAACGTTACCGGTTCCAGAATGAACGTAAGCAGGTTTAGGTCCAGATAAGGTCCGCGAGCTGAACGGGATCGGTTTCTCGCCTTCTTCTTCTTCTACTTCTTCAGTCGATTTCCATTCCTTCAGGAACGCTATTCTACCTTTTCACGTTCACCTCATTCCCATTTCAGTCTTAAGAAGGTTCGAACGTTGCTACAGCCGGTGGAGTCACATCTCACATTGTCAAGTCTAAAATATCGATGTTCTTCCATGGGAAGCATACGGAAGGTACAGCCGTATCGGCTTCTCGCAGAAGACCAGTCCTTTCTTCTTCTGAACGGCTCTCTTCTTGGATTTCCGACTCAAGAAGTCACGGGTACTCCACTTCAAAAGTCGTTAAATACTAGGTTTTCAGAGACCCAGGCCGGTCTCCTTTACGAGCGTCTCAACGTGTCGAATAATCTTTCACTTCTTTGTGGCTTTCCGCTCGCTGGCGGTGTGCCGACGTCGTTCACCAAGACACGGCCTGGGCGGTAAACGCGGTCGAGGGGAAAAGAGGACGATCTCCGAGACGTGCGACAGCCGCACTTCGCAGATGAGCGGAGATAGAGCCGAATAAAGTGGATCAGGATTGAAATGGATGACGGAGGCGAAGGCGTATGCACACTGGGTGTCTCGAAAGCTCGAGTCAGCGAGCAAATTTATTTCTCGTGCAGATGCCACTGCGATAATTTTGCCGGATGCTCTAATAATTAATCTATCGAGATGAGAACCATGAAAGGACTGGAATCGCGGAGGAACGATTTGGAGACGAAAAAGACGAGGAGTACACACGTGGAGACAAAAAAAGAAAACGCTGACGTTCCATGTTGAAAGAGGATAGCGTGCGAAACGACCGGCGAGGCCGGACCGGCAAAGGCACGTCCGCCGCCGAGGCGGGAGACGACAGATATTCACGGTGTGGATCGAGAGAAGACGGTCGGGGAAAAGAGAGCGGATGAAAAGGAGACGGGTATCCTTGTGAGAGACAAAGGTAGCGAGAGCTACAGAGCGCCGCAGAAAGAGAGAGATTGATAGCGACAGAGACGAAGATCGCGAACAGAAGCGCCGTGCGGAACGACGAAGACGAGCAAAGTCGGCTCTAACGAGAAAGGGGGAGAGAGGAAGGAAATTATGACTACCACGTGAGAGCGACGGAGGCGGAGAGACGGTCGGCGAGGATAACAAGACGTGGACGCGTGCGGGAGCGAGCGGGGCGTACCACGAATACGTCGACAGCAACGAAGAGTAAGTCGAGAAGAAGGGGATCGGAGGGTGGGGGAGG